GGATGGAAAAGTTTGCTGCAGCTTTTGACAAATTGAAGGATAGAAGTCAGTTTTTGTTTACAGAAATTGAAGAATTGGGACTTTTAACCCCAACAAAGACGATAGATGTTTTGGAGGTAATGTGCAAGGATCAGCACAAGATAGATGTTTTCATGGGGTTGTCGGAGTCAGTTAAGAGGACATATGTCTTGTGCATACTGGACAAAAGTAATGTCTACCGTCCACCTTTTAGCCTCTGAAACAATCAAGTTGACGGGGTTGTAAATATTTTTAACTCGTACTAAAGTGTATGATGTGTTGTCTAAGAACATATAAATCCTTAGATGTTTTTGATGTGTTTGTTACTGAAATGCTACTGGGTTTAGGTTCCCACATGGGCAGTAGATATATATTTTGTCACGGTGAGTAATTCTTAAAGGCATGATTTTTGTTGTTGCAACTTCTTATTGGATTATCTTTATTGGCAGGCAAAAGGAAAAATGAAGGCATGATTGATCATAGTTTGATCCATTCACTGTTGAGCTCCAGCTAAACTGAAATCGAAACTTCAAGCACTCCGCTTTTCCGTTCTGTTCTTGTAAAAATATGTACTAAGTATAATGTTTATAAATTATTGTTTCTATGTTGCTTTCGGTTGGGTGTGTTAGATATGTTGGTTGTGTTGGATGCTACAATCTTATTCTAAATATGAAAGTTTGTTGTTACATTGCTTTAGCTAAATGCATGACAAAGTGTAATGGTGGTAATGAAATGGAACAGATAATCAAGAGATAAACTGATTACTTAAAGAAAATTAAACCAGAGGATGAAGAAATGGAAATGGCGGTAATGAAAATCCTAATGCCCAAAAGCAGCCTGAGATGCACCAAGAAAAACCACCCATGCTATTGCAAAAAAAAGACAGCCAAGCCTTATAAAGAAAAAGCCAAAAAAAAAAAAAACCAATAAGCAAAATAGCTGCTGCCCACAAACACTACAAAAATAGTAGTTGCTGGCTAAAAAAAAATTGCAGTTGTCGGCTCAAAGAAAACTGCAGCACCTCACTAGTAGAACACCAAGGACAACATTTAACAAATCCCCGCATCAAAAAGAAGATAAGCATCAAAACACCTTTGCTTGAGTGACCAACTCCAGGGGAGAACCAAAAAAAGAGTGGGTAAAAATCCCTAAAAGGGCGTTGCCAATGTAACACCCTTCACTAGTTGAGGGTTGCAAGCAGCAAAGTAAACTGCAACAAATCCTCCAAGTGAGTTCCCCATAATATATACTGGTTCACGAATGATCTATTCTATGAAATAACAAACCTGATCCTGCCATAAATCCATAGAAAAAACAAGCTGACTCGCCCATGGTTCAACGTCATCTCCAAATCCCCACACTTTATCCTTCCTTTCTGTTGTACCTCCTTCGTTAGATTGTGTAGTAGGATCTTCAAATGGCAATGACATGCCTTGCCCAAGAAAGTCAATTGCCCATACTCTATAATCCCTGCCCAAATCTTTTAGTTGCTTCTAATAATGAAAAGAACCAACCCCAAAGCCAGAAAGAAACAGCACAGGTGGGGAATTTACATTTTCACACCCTGCCTTCTCATAATGCATAGTAAATTTAGGTTTCCACTCCCAAAAGCAACTACTTAGGTGCAGCACATTCACCATTGGATTCATCTGGCAAGCCTGGAATTAAAACCTTGGGTATTGGTGCCCCATCTTTCGAAATATTTCCAGCGCCCTCTTCCCCGCCAATTACATATCCATCATAGTTCCCACTCGATACCTTTGAAAAGACCTTTTTAAACCCTTCAACAGCTTTTAATGAATGAGAACCTTTCCCATGATCAAGATTCTTTGAATGTAAATCCTGTCATCAACTATATTCCTTTTTAATCTCAACAATCTAGTGTTCCCAGACCACCACTCTTCAAAATATTTGAAGAAGCACAACCATCAAGATTGTCTGTGGGCGTTAACGGCCATCAATCTGGCCGTTTTTGGATCTCTGGCCAGAAATGGCCATACGGCACACGGAGGCCATTTCGTGCCCTCCATGCGCCGTTACGTCGCTGGCTTCTGGCAGCCGGTGGCCAACAGTGGCTGGGTTGATGGGGGTGTATTGTTGATTTTCCAAACTTTTATTGTTGGGTTGTTTTTGCTAAGTTTTTAAATGTAGGCGGTTATAATAATCTAAATAATAATATAATAATAATATTTAATTAAAGGACAATTCAGTAATTTAAACAACATACCCACTAATTTATTCCTTCCAACCAAACATATTAATAAAACATACCCACCAATTTATTCCAAATAACCAAACATATTTTTCTAAAGATTCCCGATAATTTTCAAGGTAATCTATCTTTCCAGTAATCCAACATTCCTAGTAATCTAACATTCCCTGAATCAGACGCCCCCTAAAAGTCAACTCTAATATCCTAGTCTGCCAAAATGGCCCTCGTATGTGATTGCACACGTGCTGCACCGGACCAGCGTGATCAAGAACCAGATCCAGGTCATGAGCAACACAATCATCATTCCATAATTGCAATATTTCCTTCTTCACCACCTCCATAATAATGTGGCCGCCTTCAAGCATCTGTATGATTTACATCAGTGGGTCTGGGTTATGCAAACCAAGAAGGGATCATATCGTGTTATCTTCTTTATGAGGTTGGGTTCCTGCAGTTATCACGTTGTCCAGAGCTAACTTTATACATAGAATATCAACGAAACCCGCCATCACCAGTCTTGAGCAATCTCGAAGAAAACATGTTAAAATGGAAGCATATAAAGAAACAAACAAAAACACAGAGAAATACTTGAGGAGGAATGACAATTTTTCGAGTAAGTTTTAAAAAGTCACTGGCTTAACATTTGAACCTGAACCCGTCCCGAGTGTGGATTCTATTTGACTTCACTTAGTAGGATTAGGTTTCACCAATGAGTATGGATTCGGATATTCTTGGAATTATGAGAGGTATTATTTAAGCTTTACTAAAACTCTTTATAAACCAATGTTTAATTTTTTTTATTTTTTTTATTAAATTAAACGATAAGTACATTCATAATTTTTTTTTTCTCAAAATTACCCTCTAATATTCACTTTGCAAGTGTTCCTTTCTCAAGACACCCGTTGTAAACCCTTTGGTTATTTTATTATGTAATATATTCAAAAAAAATTCTAATACAACTAATTGAACTGAAAAACTTTCCGTTTATGACTTTGTTATTCGTATTCAAACAAAGAGCTTACAGTGAAGTCTATTGGGTTTTTTTGGTTTGTCATTGAAGTGAAAAAATAAAAAAAAAGAGATTAAAACATTTTCACCCGTGAGGTTTACGTTGAGGAAGTACAGCTAGGGGATTCTGAAAGAGACAAAACTACCTGGTATTGCTAAAATATTAAAATACCCTCAGTTATCAGTTTTAAGCCCTTATGGTACTGGTAATTATCTCAACCCTTGTCATCAGCCCCTTAAATTTTCTTCCATTCTTTTAACCAAATCAATGGTAAGAGAGTGAAATGTACTAAATTTTTTATAATAATTAAGTTTAAACATTTACACCCTGAATACTTGTAGAACTAACTTATATTTCAAAAACTCTCAAATTTACCATTTAGACCCCAACAAATATGGAACACAATTATGAATTACCCTAATTATTGTCTAATCCACCCTAAAATTTACTAACAACTCATTTTTACATAAGAAAGGTAAAATAAATAATAAAATTTTGAAAAATCTTAAATACTACAAATCCTTAACCGAAAATTACAAATACTAAATAAAAAATAAAAGATAAACTTTTAAGGATTTTGAAAAATTAAGAATACTTTAAAAAAATCTTAAAAAAACCGAAAAAAGAAATAAGCTAAAATCTTAAAAAAAAAAAAAAAAAAAATCAGATTGTTTTTAAGCCTAACAAGTTGTTGGGGACTTCTAGAGATAAAGTGAAAGTAGAGGGATGCGTTGAATGATGGGCATAGCAGGAGAGGGCATTAAGGTCATTTACCCTCATTTGGTTAAAACTAATCGAGGAAAACTTGAGGAGAGTTCAAAGTAATTACTAATGAATAATGTTGTGTGCACTAACCAAAACCATACTAACCTAAGTACTAACTGACGTAGCAAACCTCTCTTATTGCCATGTCAGTTCCCCCCAAAAACTAAAAAAAAAAATTTTAAAATTTCAATTGTTAGTACTTAGATTAATATAATTTGGTTAGTACACATAGCATTACTTAATTACCAATACCACAAGATATTTATTGAGACTAGGGCAAACCTCGGGAGGTTTAAACTTTAAAGTACTTATCCCCTTAAATGGTTATCTATTTTCTTACAAAATCCTAAATATAATCCATTATCATCTTCTAAATCCAATTTTCAAACAAACAAATCAAATAAAGCACATGAAATTTAATAAAAACATCTTATGCATCAAATTCACATAAGAAACTTTAAAATGGTAATCAAAGAGTATTTTTGTCTTTAGGTAATCAACTGGGTGGATTTATCACTATCCAAACCCTGTGGGTGTATTGGTACTAACTTAAACCTCATGGGTGAAAATTTTTTAATCTCAATTCAAGAATGTTTTATGTTTAAATAAGAAACTCATCTAACTTACTAGGATTTGGATAGATTTGATGCAATGGGCTCGCAAGATCCCCTTATTTCCTTAGCCTTTTATCAAATATGATAATAAGATATATTATTATATTTACATTTACTTTGGACAACTCTATACCATATGATGAGTGCAACTCGTTTCTTACATAAAAGAAAATGTTTTTGTTTTGAGTTATTTTGTTGGAGATAAGTTGGACTGGGTTTGTTGTTAGTGTTTTCTCAAGGTTCTTCACTGCGTTTGATTCCTGTTACTTCGTGAAAAATACCACAGTTGTAGGAGCAAAATACTAAAATCGTTATTTTTGTTTTTCCTGCTCTGTAATATTGGTTACTACGAATTGAGAATCAGAGTATGGCAAAGATGCTATAATTTTAACCGACTTGAAATTGGCTTAAGTACTGCAATTCAGCTACAACATCAATTTAAGACACTCCAAGTTATTGGAGAGCATCATTTGAGCTCGTCTCTTTTCCATCAACCACCACCCTGATACTTAGACACAAAACCGACAATGACCTAATTAAGCACTGTGAAATTAATAGCACACCACCTTCACTCCCTTAAGCTTTGACCCCCATTTTCCAGGACATAGCAAAATTTTTACCTACAGGAATTTCAAGACCGATAACCTGTATCATCAATGTCTTCTGCTTATGTGCTCCATCTTCCACCTCATCCAGGTGCTTCTGTTCCGCTGCACTAATTTGTATTTTCGACGCATCATCTACTTTGTTTCCATTAACCTCAAGTGTAGCTGCCTGTGCACTTCCATCTAATCCCAAAACAGTTATCTTCTCAACAATCAAACCCTGGTCTAAAGCATACTTGCCTTCCTGAACTTCAGACCAAACCTTCACGGTTCCTTTGCTCACAGTCGCATAGAAATCAACATAAGTAGAGTACCCATTTCCGAGTTTCATCTCTGGAAGCTCATCTTCATCAAGGAAAAGGTTCCCTTTGGCTTGACCATCAGACGCTGCTGCTGGGAAGGTCACTATGAGGGTAAAAGGAGTCTTTCTAGCTTCCTTAGAAATCAGTCCTCCTTGCTGAATTGGAAGTATGGTATTCTGATACAAATGCACATTAACCACATGTAAAGGTGCATCAAGTGTAACATATTTTCCCTCTTTTGACATGATTATTTGTGACATATCAAATAAATTGTACCAAGTACCCGGGGGAAAGAGTGCTTTAACATTTGTTTTCCCCTGCTCAAGAACTGGAGACACCATGATACTGCTTCCAAGTAAGAATTGGGTGCTCAACCCATAACAATCAGTGTAATTGCTGAATGTGAAGAAAAGTGGCCTGGCAATCGGGGCTCCGGTACTATGAGCTTCGAAGTTCAATGTGTAGAGGTGAGGAAGCAGTTTATACCTCATACCCAGAGCATTTCGGGCAGATTCCGCAACTGATTCCCACTGATAAAGCTCCTGTCTTGGGGAGTAGAAGTTTGCATGATCCCTTGAGAAGGGGTAGAATGCACCTACTTCTATCCACCGGTTACAAAGCTCTTCTGTGGGTGCAGGATAGAACCCACATATATCTGAACCAACCATTGGCACCCCAAATATGCCAAAATTTAGCATGGTAGAAATAGAATACTTTAAATCTTCCCAAGTGCCCTTATTATCGCCTGTCCAATGAGCAGCATATTTACCTGATCCAACAAAAGTGGAGCGTGATAGTATAAACGGTCGCTTTCCTTCAAGCCCTTGAAGAGCCTGGTGAGTTGCAATAGATTGAGAGAATCCATAAAGACTGTGTGCATCATACTCCAAAACACCATTATAGTGATATGCACTAGTGGCAATGGTTTTGAATCCTATAGGCACTTGAGTTCCCGATGCATTGATCTTGTAAGGTGGATCATCCCATCTTGTATTTGTTATGTTTTTGCAGTCCAAGCAGCAGACCCAACCAGGTCCACTCCCAGTTGGACATTGCTTGCCCTTTGGTATTTTGCAAAGTCCAGAACAAAAATTTGATGCTTCGTTCATATCAATCCATAGGCCATTCACGGGGACAAGTTCATGAAAACGGCGAATTTCATCACCCCACCATTGAACTGTTTTTGGGTTGAGGAAGTCAGGAAAGTTGACAGCACCAGGCCAAACTTGAGCCAAGTAGGGTTCACCTTCATACTTGATGAAAACATCATTGGCTATAGCTCTTTGGTACACACCATAGCTAGAATTAACAGCAATTCCAGGATCAATAATGACAATGTACTTCATGCCCATGCTGTGTATTTTGTCCAGGAATGCCAAAAGCTTTGGACGAGGGTAGTTGTTAGGGTTGAGAGTAAAATCCTTGTGCCCATCCATGTGATCATCATCATTCCAGATCACATCAAGGGGAATTTGAGCCTTCTGGTAGTTTGCAACAACATCTTCAACAACAGACAGGTTGTGGTAACCCCATCTGCATTGGTGGAATCCTGTACCATCAAATTGAAAGAACAATTACTAAGATTTTAAGTTTTTCTTCACTACTGACAGAAACAATTTAATAAGAACCAAGTGAAATATGTACTACCCAGTGCATGATGCAAAGCTTTGGCAATTAGCTGGAGAAACTAGGTTACAAGGGTATTTTTATAGCATAGAATGGATCTGAACTGTCAAATGATGTCAATTTTATAGTATGAACATTCAAAAAAAAGCACCAATCTTAAGGAAAGTATACAGCTGCTAACATTTAAAAGCCGAATACAACAAAGCTAAAGGTTCTGTCACTACAAGTTCCTGATACTTGTGGTTCAGCCCATAGTAAACATTCTTCTACCTACTTACCCTTTTTACTCCCGCTTATTGCTGTTATAATTTTTTATTATTTATTTTTTGATAGAAAGCAAACCCCCTTTACTGCCTCATTTCCATTGAAAGAGCTAGCAACTGAATGTTATATGCTAAGAAAGTATCTTACTAGATGCTTATGCAGTTTATTAATAAAGGAACTTTAGCACATTTCATACCCCAAATCCGATGAAAAGCAATACCTTTTTACCTAATCACTTTTTAAGTGTGGCATCTAGAGACAAATACCTGCACACCCATGTGCTAAGGCCCCCAACTTATTCACCCACATATAAATCAATCTTTTACTTGAAATTTTTTTTCACTTGTACCATGCTTTTAGGAACAATGCCTAGATCAAGAAAACCAAAGCAACGAATCTATGAACTACATGTCACATATGATGCTCTAACCTAAGACATTAATAAAAATAGCTGTAAAATGCAAGAGGACAACAATCATGCAGTTCCCATCCCTGCAGTTAAGGCCATCTCACCGTCACATAACATGTCTCTTATAGATGCCCAGTTTTGGGTCTACATTAACAAAGAGTAATGTGAATGCTGTCTAGTTTTAGACACAAGTAGGACCCAACTTAACAATTACAAGCAGCAGTATGTTAAAGACTGGAAATTAACTGTTAAATTTCCAGCTCATGTGGTGAAGGTGATATTTTAAAGGACAACATTTGTTTAAGTATCTAGAATAAGTTCCTGTCCGAATCCACTAGTTTTTTGAGAAATTTATCTAGCAAAGTTAAGCATAAAAGCAGAAAACTTCCATACAGATATTGAACTTGGACTAAAGATCTTATCTTTTATGTGGACCTAAAGCATCAAAGGTCATTTTAATCATTTATGAAAGAAAAAGATTTTGCAGATCTCAAAGTTTCCAGGAACAGGCCAAAAGAGAGATCAAATTAAGCAAGATGCACATGGTCATGGAGTATTATTACACAAAACATTAAATAAAAAATTTTGACTATGGAATTATTAGGAAGAATAGAGCTTTAAACAAACACGATAATTAAGTAAAACAAAATGGGGCCAACTTTGCAACCTAAATGAGAAAAAGAAACAAAGCATCCCTATCCCACATCATAAATCAAAACGCAAACGTGTCTGCACCGATTGAAAAATCACACATCAATCAAGATTTTTGCCCAAAGACCAAATCGCTTGGGTGGTCGTCATGGATTATCATGATCCCACATAAAAAGAATATGTCACTTAAACTAATGTTATGATTACGCGAAAAATGGAGTTTGTATGTAATAATAAGCTACCCTTTGAACAAATATATCACTCCTCTCACTGGTCATATCAGTCACTCTCCTAAATATAACATTAAGCTAGACACAGTTGCTAGTATTATGATAGTCATAAATAAACACCAAAGAAAACATTACTAACTTATCAGTAAAAACTAAAACAACTTTCAAATGGTTAAAAGTGTTTCTTTGTCAATTATACAGCGTAGAGAAACAGTTTACAGACAATCTTTTAATAAAAAAATATTTTACATGGGAATAAGAAAAACCTTTTGCTTAAAAAAGTGCATAAATTTGGAGCTTTTCCATAAAAAAGAAAAAAAAAATCACTTTTAAATGCTTGTGTAAACAGTGCTTTTAGTAAAACGTGATTCCACAAAAGCACACGAGGCAGAGCAACAAAGGGGCATAATTTATCATCATTAGACGTACGACTGCTTCAAAACCTGAAAGCAACCAGATGTTCAATGCACCTTTTCTTCTTTCTTTCTTAAAAATACTAATAGCTAACTAATCCCTCCAATAATCCAAGGCCACCCACATTGCCAATTAGAATAAAACTACATAAAGATAAGCAGAGAAACTAAAATAAATAACGCTGAAAAGAAACAGATATTCATACCTAGAGACCAGTAAGGCATTGGAGCAGGTCTGCCAATAAAGGCGGTATATTGATCAACAACGGCGAGAGGTGTTGGCCCTGCAAAGAAGTAAAAGTCCAAAACACCCCCAATAATCTTGTATGTTAAAGAAGTCGCTGTATAGAAGACATCCATGCCATTACTGTTAAGCAAAAGAACGGCATGTGCATTGGGCTGCCCACCCACATTCCTGAGATCCATATACACAGGATGAGACCCGTAAAGATCAGTGTTGAGATTAATGGCTGATACATCAGTTGTGTACAGAGTGTATGGATCATTTGGATAGAGTTTGATCCCATGAGGTTGTGTGTTCTCTCCTAGACCGTACAGTGAGGCATCTTTTGGTAACTTTGTGGAGATTTCAATGTACTGATCTTTAAATACCATTTCACCAAATGGGTCTGATTTATCAGACTTTGAGTTGAAAAGAATATCCCCATTAGATTTTCTTTTCACCATAAAGCTAAATGGGTCTGCGGTGTAGCTAAAGATGAGTTCATTGCTCGAGTAATCCGAGACTTGCAATGAGCCACCACCGTCCTTTCTAGATTTTGAAATGGTTAGCTTCATTGCTGGTGGTTGTTCTCTTGGCAATAAATTGTACGGTATTTCCCATCTTTGCTTATCAGCATCAGTTATATGTACCCTCAAACGATCTTCAGTTTCATGCCTACAAAATCACAAAGCAAAATTCATAAATCAAAAAAAAAAAAAAAAAAAAAAAAAAACTTGCCGGTATTTACAAACTTACTTGACATAAATCTGCAAATTAGTAATATCAGAACCGTAGATTTGGTTCTTTTGCTTGACTTGAAGGAGACCGACAATGCCTCCATCAGGGGTTTCCTCAATGGAGACCAAACGGTAGCCCTGGCCAATCTTGGCGGCCGCGGCATCAGAGGAGTGTAAACATAACAACAAAACAAGAAGAACAGAATAAAACGAAGAAGAAGAAGATAACATTGCTATGTTAATGGCTTACTAGTAAGTAACCAGTAAGCGACCAAGAAGAAACAGAGGTATAAATAGAAGAACTTAATGAGACTGTTATGGAAGAAGCTTGGTATAAATAGAGGAAGTTAGAAAAGAGTGTGAAGTGTAAAATTGATTGGGTACATGTGAAGTAGCGGAAACCATCTTATGCCCGCAGTGCACGTGATGGTGATGGAAGGTGGGTCCACTGGTCCCACTAAAACACACTATTGTGTTCTCTTTCTACACATATTGGTCCTACTTTTAATTTGGCTTATCACTGCCGTCGATTGCGGTAAAGTTTTTATCAAAATATCTTCTAATTAACAGATTTATTAATTTAGATATTTATTTATGCTTTATTACTATTTTTCTTTTAATTTCTAAATGTGAATGGAATATAACGGGATATTAGATTATATCCAAACCATGATTCTCGGGGGGGTTTCCATATGAGTAAGTCCTATCTGTTCGTATTGTGCAACGCCCATGGTTTTTTGGTAGGTTTATTTATTTTCTTTCCTAATCTTTTTGATATTTTATTTTATTATCATCCTACTTGAATTGTGGATATGGTGACATGGTAATTATATCTAAATCCTCTGTTTTGGTTTGATATAGTGGAATTTATGTGGTTAGCAAAATCAACATATTATCCGTCTTAATTCATATACAGTAAAACTTCTCTATACTGATACTCTATATAGGAATAAATTCTACAATGTTATAAAAAAATTATATTCCTAATTTTGGATAGTTATAAATAAGAATAAACTCTATATTGTAATAAGTTATAATTTTTATAATTTCCATCTTAAAAAAAGTTGTCTCCACATAATAATACTTATCTGTATATTGTAATATTTATATATATGTGTATGTGTGTGTGTGTGTATGTGTGTTACATTAAATGTTTAAGATAAAATAAAACATTTATCTAGAGTTGTTTGAGATAATGATTTGTGATTCAAAGTTGTTACCACATCTTTTAACTTGCGGGTAGATTACTCACTAACATGGACATCTTTTTGTTGAAACCAAATATTTCTAGCTTCTCAAGTATGTTTAGAGTTTTTTGGCACAAAATTTTTGTATTTCCATACTATCATCCTCATGATTATTTCTTTTATCTTCTTGTCTGATTGTAACAATGATTTCTTCTTTAGTTAAAGCATATATGACTTATTACTCATTTGGATGATTGGAAAAGACATTAATATATATTCGATTAGTGCAATGAAGTTGTTGAATCCGATCACTCAATTCTACAATTACTCTTTGATTCTCCTCATCCACTTCATTTGTAACTTGCAATTCATCAACATCGGAGATCCTAAATTTTGTAATGATTAAAACAATTGGCAATAGTATGTGACTTCACATCAATTTGCTGCATTATTTTGTAATGACTGAAACAATTGACAATAGTTTGTGGCTTCACATTAATTTGACTATGCAACAACTGCATTTATAATTTCATCAAGGACATTTATCTTTGTTGGTTTCAAGACACGATTTTCTATCCATTTCAAAAGTAGGCAATTGAAGCGTTGAATTGAAATCCTAATACTATATTATTAAAACATGAATTATAAAGAAATTTTTGTTACCACATCTCTATTAAATTATAACTTCCTCATAGTAATAAAATTAATTAATCACATCATTATAATTATAGAAATGTTTTACTGTATTTATTAAATATATTGATAAATTATTTTGTTATTAAGTTGTAGATATGTGGATATAGTCATTTATAGCCCCTAACACTTGACATTGATTAAACATACTAGATGTACAAATAAACTGTACAAAGATTTGTGTATAAAATACAAAAAATCAAACTCATCATGTTCATTTTTTAATTTATTTTATGCGACATCAATTTGTACACAAATTTTTGTAAGATTTGTTTGTACAAGTAGCATTACTGGTTAAATTGGCACATAAAACAACAAGTAAGGAACTTTTTCCCACCCAAGGTTTGGCTTAATGACCTTTTCCACCCCAAACGTTTCAAAATATCACAAAATATCACTTTCCCATCAAAAGTGTATATTTCGTTAATACCCAAAACTGACTTCGGGCGATTCTGGTGGCAAAAGTTATCTCTGTCACCATGGGTATTTTTTCTACAAAACCCCTCTCACTCCAGTATCTAATTTCTCATCGATTGTTGGCCACTATAAAACTAAGGTTACTCGTTCTTAATTGATTCCGATGGTGAATATTCAATCGATTACTACCATACGATCTATCAGCCTCCACTCAACTAAACCCTTATTACCTTGGCTCCTAATAACTCGCCGAACGTCAACTAAGAAAGTGAAGTGTATTTTGAGTATTAATAGAATATAAATTTTGAGTGAGAAAGTGATACTTTTAAACTTTTTGGATGGAATATGGAAGAGTATCATTAAGGCAAACTTGGGTGGGAAAAAGTCGTTTACTCTAAAACAACTACGCCCGAGAAAGTTCGAAAATAACCATTTACATCCTCTGACAATTTGACGTTGATTAAATTGGGACATAAGATGCTCGAACAATCGACCTCTAATTATACAGTTAAACACAATAACCACTTTGCCCAAGGTATTTCATATAATCGGCATAACATTTATTTGTGATGTATAATACATAAACATTAATATGAAAAAGTTGGAAGGAATATTAAAAATTTACGTGAAAATATTTTATGTTTTATCATCAAATTTAATATATTTAGTAATATTAGATATATTAAATTTTATATTTAAAAATATTGAACAAATAATATATTTAAAATTTTGACAAAAGATATTTTATTAAAGAAAATATTAACATTTTAATAATTTTACCAAAATTCAATTACAAACATATTCTATTAAAAAGAGTAATAAATATAAAACTTTTTGCTAAAATTCAATAATATTATAAAAAAAAATATTTAATATAACTTTTATAGGGGTAAAATTTAATATATTTTTACAAAATTTTAAAAATAATTTTTAATAAACTTTAACATAAATGTTCAATAAACTTTAAAAAAGAAAATGTTCTATATAATTTAACATAAAATTTCAATATAATTTGAGTAATACCACACATACAACATTTTTATACAGCATGATGTGGCAAAAGATGATTGGGTGAAAGTTTATTTTAATTTAAAAGCAACCAATCATTTTTTGCCACATCATGTTGTATGAATAATGTTGTATAAAAGTGTGGTATGTATAGTATTATGCAATTTAATATAAGTATTAACTACTTTGTAACACAAAATTTAAATATGTTAAAATAAAGTATATGTTTTAATATTTTACGTATCTTATTAGGTTTCTGTTTTAAAAAATGTCCTTATTCAATTAACATTTTGATTTTGACAAATAAACCATGGGCAAATTTGTAATTAAAATGGTCAAACTTGGTCTTCCATCAATTTTAACGGAAAAAAAAAATCAACTTTCCTGGCTGTAAGTTTAAATCTTCTTAGAAATACTTGGGTAGGTACCTTATTGATAGAATATAATATATATGATGGTGGCTGTTACAAGGAATTAAATACATTATGTAAATTTGAAACAATGACCAAATTAGTTTTATTACACCAATCAATATCTTAGTTTATTGAGTTTAGGATGTGATATGTGACCGTTGCTATAAATTATCAAAGAAATCAACCATACTTGAAAAATGTTACACTCTAATAACCAGATGAGGATGCTAAAACATTGTGCAAATTCATAATATTATCAAAGAAATCAACCATACTTGAAAAAATTTAGAAGGGGAAACAATCCAAACAAAACCTATAGTTTTATCTTAATCTCATACTCTTTAGTATTCTCTTAAATAATGGAACTTCCTTATTATAAAAAATAATATATATTCATAATACTTAGTTTATAAAGTTTTTATTTTCCGAAATTTATTTTATATGGTATTAAAGTTATTGATTAACGTTCTCTGCTTTTATTGAATTACTCAAAAATATTAATAAAAATGAAGAAAAGCAATCCAATAGGAAAGATAATGTTACCAATTTATATAAGAGTACTACTAGTCTTACAAAGAGTCATACAAAAAGACAAATCCAACCCTTAAAATTTATAATTACCTACTTCTCTCTCGTTTTTTCTTTTTTTCAATGATTGGATTTATCTTTTATATGTTCTGCCTAAGGTTAGTATTACTCTTTATACAACCAAACATTTGAAAATTTCAATATTTTGTAGAAGAAGCACGTGCATGGTCAATTCATACGAAAACGTAATTAAATTTGGAGCAACTATCAATCAAATCTCTTACACGCAATTCACTTGTTTAATGTCAAATCAATCAGACCAATCAACAGAGAGGTCACTTTCTTTTACCTATGGATAATTTAATCAATCTTATAATTCACACAAGGGTTGATTAATTTCTAGTATATGTCACCAAAACTTTTACTAAATTACCAAAATGAGAAATAAAATTAAAACCATGCATTCTGTTTATTAATAGTGAAAGACTAAAATGTCCTTCAAAGTTTTAATTTTAGTTTTTTAAAAATTTAAAAATTTCTAAAAAACCCCTTAAGTTTTCTAATTTAATTAAACCCCCCATATATAAAAATTTGTTAATAACAAAAACACCCCCATGCCAGATTCGGCCACCATCGCCGGAATCTGGCCGGAAAACTACATTACGACACAGACCCATCGGGTCTGTGTCGTAACGTGCCGATCTGACCTTTCCGATCAGATCCGCCACGGTCTGGCTGGAAGGCAAGATCTGGCCGTCGAAGCAACAGCCAATCTGGCCTTTTCCGGCCAGATCCGTGGCTGATCTGGCCGAAAGGGCCACGATCTACTGCCAGATCTGGCCGTCACGCCGCAATGGAGTTTTGCGGCGTCGACGGCCAGATCTAGCCGTAGATCTGGCCTTTCCCGCCAGATCAGCCCACGGCTCGGGAAAAGGCCTATCGTGCGTCACGACACAGATCCGACGGGTCTGTGTCGTAACGCAACTTTCCGGCCAGATTCCGACGGTGGTGGCCGGAATCTGGCACTGCAGGTGGCGGGGGTGTTTTTGTTATTTTACAAAAATTTTATACATTGGG